GGAGGGTGTAGTGTGTGGGGGGACATCAGCTGCTGTAATAAAGCGGTGCTCTTCTACTTATGCGCGGCCGCGTCGAAACCACCGCATCCAAAGGTCTCTTGCATCAAGATGCTGGGCCTCGGGTGCGAAAGGAGACGGAGATGCGGGAGAGGACGAGAAGAAAGGAGGCCGGGAGACCCAAGGCCTGGAGAGTGGGGGGAGGACTGGGGGGAACGATTCGCTAGGCAAATCCTGGCGCGCAAGATGTGGAGAGTGCCCTGGGGAGCGGGGTTGCGGGGTGTCAAGGGTCCACCCACACTTTCACTCCCCACCTTTCTCCCTCACCCACACACGCCTAACCGCCCACCCAGGATGCGGCTGGGCCGCCGGGCCCTCTGTGTGCTGGTCCTGCTGCTCGTCTGCGCCTCGCTGGGGCTTCTGTACGCGAGGACCCGGGACGCGCCGGGCCTTCGGACACCTCTTGCTCTGTGGGCGCCCCTGCAGGGACCCCCCAGGCCAGAGCTGCCAGACCTCATCCACGAGCCCCGCTACGCCCACATCCCGGTCAGGATCAAGGAGCAAGTGGTGGAGTGAGTGCCAGGAGTGGTGGCAGCAGTGCGTCACTCACTGGGGGGTGCTGTGGGGAGCTTTTGTTTCCTCCACTGCTGAGCTCTGATGCCCGGGTTTTCCCGACTGGTTGGGAGGCGGGGAGGGGGTTGAAGTAAGAGGTGGAGGGGGCTACTGAGTCTTGGGCTGGAGAAAAATCTGTCCTCCCTGAACCTTGTCATGGTGATGGGGAAGGGAGGGTGTGCAGTCAGAGGATGGCCTGAAAGACTTTCTGATGTCCTGATGATGTATACCTGAAAGGAGAATCCAGGAGGGGTCCTGAATGGTGGGTGGATATCTCAGAAATCCTAGCAACTGGCTCTATTCTACACCTCTGAAATCCAGATTTAGCAGATAGGTCATCCCCATCCGTGGTCCCTCCTCCTGGGGATTATCTGAAGAGCAGTGTTTAAGGGGACAAATATTGGGTGGGCAGGGTTGAAGGGCCAAGGTGTGGGGCGCTGTGTCAATGTTTTGTGGGATGAATGGAGGTGTATGGCTGGACTCTAATGACCCTTCCTCCCTGCTCCAGGCTGCTATCTGGCAACAACTGCAGTTGTGAGTCTAGTGTGGGGAGCCTTCACCTTCCCTTCCAGAGGCAGGTCCAAGCCATTGACTTCACCAAGGCCTTTGACCCTGAGGAACTGAAGGCTGCCTTTGCCTCAAGGGAGCAGGAGTTCCAGGCCTTCCTTTCAAGGTACCAGCAAGAAAGGAGGGCATGACTCTGCAGGTGGAGAGCAGTGGGAGGCCTGGAGGGGTAGGTGTGACAGGAGGGAGAGCCCCTCTCCCCTGACCTTCCTCTGTTCTCCCCCTCCACCACTGCCAGGAGCCAGTCTGCTGCTGACCAGCTGCTTGTAGCCCCTGCCAACTCCCCACTACAGTATCCCTTGCAGGGTGTGGAGGTACAGCCCCTCAGGAGCATCTTGGTGCCAGGTGGGGAGAATGGTCCCAGGGGATGACCTAAGCTGCTGTGGGGGTAGCAGAACCCAAGGTTGGGTTGAGAGGAATGAAGGAAGATTGGAATGGGAGGTGGGGGATTTCTGGTGAAAGGGGAACTTGAGGTCAGAAGGGGGCTCATGAAGTAGGAGATAGGAACAGAAGGGACTCGGGTTATCAGGAATTGCAGAAAATTTAACTGGGAAGGCTTGGGGGAAAGAATCTATTCTTTGCAGACTAATCAAAAGCTAGGTGGATAAGTAGGGCAGGCCATAAAAGAGCTACTGCTTTGTTGGGAAGGAGTTAAAAATCAGTTACACCATGACCCGGGCTTCATCCTGCAGTATACTCAGCAGCCTAAAGAGGGGATGGGTGAGAGGGTCTGTGTTGTGTGTGGTAAAAGCAGGGAAGAGAAAATGAGGAAGAATTCAAGACTGTCTGTGATTCTGACCCCTCCCCTTCTTTCCAGGGCTGAGCCTGCAGGCTGCTTCTGGTCTGGAGGTATACCAGGTGAGAAGAAACAGGAGGGCAGAGAGGCCAGGTGGGCATTAAGGGTGATGGGAGGGAAACAGGGCTGACAAAGGAGGGATGGAGGAATCAAAGAAACAAGAGGTCGGTCTGGGGGCTATAACTCTGCACTCTCCAATCCCCTTTCCCAGGTGAACCTGACTGCCTCCTTGGGGACCTGGGACGTGGCAGGGGAAGTGACTGGAGTGACTCTCACAGGAGAGGGGCAGCCAGATCTCACCCTCACCAGCCCAGGGCTGGACCAACTCAATCGGCAGCTGCAACTGGTCACTTATAGCAGTACAAGCTACCAGGCAAACACAGCAGACACAGGTGTGAGGCTTGGGTGGGAGGTGAGGGCAGGCTGGGTGAACACAGAGAACCCAGAAAAGCTGGAGCAGGCAAATGGCAGAGGGTGTGGGAGATACTAGGGCAATGGCCAGAGCTGCCCAGACATACAATGGGCATTTCAGCTAGGCCAGCAGGGCCAGAAAGGGAGAGAAGGGGCCTTTGTTCATCTGGGGCCAGAGCAGGCCAGAGCAGGCCAGAGGGAAATCCGAGCCTTGGGTGTGCCCCCTCTTCAGGCCAACCATGGGGGCCCCAGGAAGTGATGTGCCCCAGGAGCCAGAAGACTCATGCTCTACTCCCAGGCCACCACTTACTATTGGGCAAAGAGCTTTATCTCCCCAAAGCCCCCATTTCTCTTCTAGCAAAAGGGACATAACAGCCCTTCTACTTCTCTCCAAGGCTTGCTACACCAAACCTGCTCCCACTATAGGCCTTTGCGCTTGCTGTTCCCTCTGCCTAATATGCTCTTCCCCCAGATTTTTACAAGCTGGCTCCTTCTTGTCATTTGGATCTCAGCTCAAATGTCTCCTCTTTACTATCACATTACTTGTCTTATTTTCTATTCAACATTTACCAGTATCTGAAGTTTCTTATTTAGTTAGCCTAGAACCAGACTGACTAGGTTCCTATCCCAGCTTTGCTGCTTAATAATTGTATAAATGTAGCAAGTTACTTAATTTCTCTACACCTTCTTTTTCTGTAGTAAGAATCTATTTAATAAAGCTATTGTGAGGATTAAATGAGTTCATATATTTAAGCTAATTTTAAAAAGTGCCTGGCACATAGTAAATGCTCAATAAAGGTAGCCTTTAATTAAACCTTTTCTTGTCTTTCTCCCACCCATTAGAATGTAAGTTCCATGGGGGTAAGAACATTGCATTCCTCTTCACCAAGGCCTAGAAAGGTGATACATAGAGTAGGCACTTAAATATTGATTTACTGAAAAGAGAATGTTGTCACAGCCTTAAGGTCCACATCTCATATCCTTTCTTCTCAGTCCGGTTTTCCACCGAGGGACATGAAGCTGCCTTCACTATTCGTATAAGACACCCCCCCAACCCTCGGCTGTACCCACTTGGGTCTCTACCCCAGGGAGGTGAGGCTGGTGCATGCAGGGACTTGAATGCAGTCTGATGGGGAGCAAGTTGGGAGAGGGCTGCCCTGGGAGCAGATGTCTTCCTGCTCCTCACTCCTCACTCTCCTTGTCTGCACCTAACCCTGCCCCTCGCTGCTCCCAGCCCAGTACAACATCAGCGCTCTGGTCACCATTGCCACTAAGACGTTTCTTCGTTACAACCGGCTGCGGGCACTCATCGCCAGCATCCGCCGCTTCTATCCGACCGTCACTGTGGTCATCGCCGACGACAGCGACAAGCCAGAGATCATTAGCGGTCCCCACGTCGAGCACTATCTCATGCCATTTGGCAAGGTGAGCGGCGAGTGAGGCTGAACCACACGCCCGAGGACACCAGGAGGGGGCGCGCTTAGTCTGCAGTCTTCAGAGTGGTGATTCCAGATTACCTGCCCCCAAATCACTGGGGTGCCTGTTAAGTGTGAGGCTTTCTGGAATGTAGCTTCTGTGGGAGCAGGAATCATGCCTACCTTATCCGCGCTGCATTCTTAGAATGGTGATTAACCCTTATTGGGTACATGATAAATAGTTGAATGAAAGCACGCAGGAAATTAAACGCATTCCAAGCCCCTCCCCAAGAACACTGACTCAGTATCTCTCTCTGACAATAGGAAACTGCATTTCCCCCCCCCCAGCTCCCTGACATTTGAGCACTCGAAAATTTGAAGAGGGGCACCAGCTGTTGAGAGGGGTCAGGAGTGAGGCGGAAAGGTGGCAGAGGGGTGTGTCTTACCTCTGCAGCTTCACTAACCATACATACCCTTCCCCAGGGTTGGTTCGCAGGCCGGAACCTGGCAGTGTCCCAAGTAACCACCAAGTACATGCTATGGGTGGACGATGACTTCATCTTCACCGCGCGGACGCGGCTGGAGAGGCTTGTGGACGTGTTGGAGCGGACGCCACTGGACCTGGTAAGAGAGTGTTTGCGGGATGTGAGGTGGGAGAAGGGCCTCCAGGAAGTTAAGACCACAGCTGGGAAGACCAAAGCTGAGAGCAGTCCGCCCTGGGACAGGAGAGGACGAAGAAGCAGGGCCTGGGGGCCTATCTGGGTCCTGCAAGGGTGCCACTGAAAAGGACCAGGCAGGGGAACCGACTGCGGGCAGAGGGAGCGCAGACCTACTCCATTCCAGTCCCCGCCCCGACTGGAGCCCTCCTCCCACTTCTGACAGGTGGGGGGCGCGGTGCGAGAAATCTCGGGCTTCGCCACCACCTACCGGCAGCGGCTGAGTGTGGAGCCGGGTGCACCAGGCCGCGGGAACTGCCTCCGGCAAAGGCGCGGCTTCCACCACGAGCTAGTCGGCTTCCCAGGTTGCGTGGTCACGGATGGCGTGGTCAACTTTTTCCTGGCGCGCACGGACAAGGTGCGCGAGGTGGGCTTCGACCCCCGCCTCAGCCGCGTGGCGCATCTAGGTGAGTGGCCCTCCCTCCCAGCCGACCCCCAAGGACCCAGCGGGGTGCCGGGAGAGGCTCCAAGCTGCAAAGCGCCTAGGACAGAGGGTACTCCCCGCCCACCCTCCGTGGAGTCCATGGGCTGCCAGCCAGGGTCCCTAGGGCAGTTCTACGACATTTTGCCAAGACCTATGCTCCTGCAAGGGTCAGAGGGCCCACCTACAGGCCCGCACACCTTTTAAACCTTCACACCCAGCACAGCCACTGGGTCCACCTTGTACTTCCTCACCACTGTCACTGCCCCTCTACCCCACTCCCAAACGCTTCCCCTGGTTCAGACCACCTCTGAGCAGCCCATTCAGCATTTATTGAACCTCTGGGTGGGTGAGTAGGGGGTTTCCTTTTCAGAGCACAAAGTTAAGTATATTGACTCCATTTTGTACAAGAGTAAAACAAAGACCCAAAGGGGTTAATTGACATGCCCAAGGTCCTTAGAAATGCCGTCTTTGCATGCGCACCCCAAATCTCAGTTCTCCCTTACAGGATGGCCTTCTGTACCCTCAAGACCCTTCATTGTGTACTCCCCCTTCCCTCCACCCCCAGAATTCTTCCTGGATGGACTTGGTTCCCTTCGGGTGGGCTCCTGCTCCGATGTCATTGTGGATCATGCATCCAAGTTGAAGCTGCCTTGGACATCAAGAGATGCTGGAACAGAGACGTATGCCCGGTACCGTTACCCAGGGTCACTGGATGAGAGTCAGGTGGCCAAACACCGCCTGCTCTTCTTCAAACACCGGCTGCAGTGCATGACCTCAGAGTGATGGCCACTTGGGACCTTCCAACTGTCAGGCTGGGCCTGCCTCCTTGTCCCTGCCGGGAATTTCTATCAAACCCACTACCCTGTGAACACTCCACTGACTGTCCTGACCCCCCTTCAGAACCCGATTCCTAATAGGGGCTTGTCCTGGTGACACTCCTCCTTTCTGTGAGTGCCCAGGGGCGTGATGGAGCCATAATTCGTCCCACAGCCAGTGCCAAGTCCTCCCCCGACCCCTTATCATGGAGGTGGGGGTCGTTTTCCAAGTGCCAAAGAGCCCATGGGGACTCTACGAACCTAAAGTGGAAACACTTATCTCCTGGGGACCGAGGGGGTGGGGAAGCCCTCAACAAGTATTCCCAGGGCTCTGCTCCCCTCCCCCATCTCTGGATCCAGGACTCTGCGCAGGCTGCAGCCCCACCCATATGGAAAGAACTGGTGACTGGAGCTGGGGTGAGGGCTGGTGAACACACAGGTGAAAGACATTTTTAGTTGTGTCTCTGCAATGCTGTCGGCATGGAGGAAAGGGCACCAGGGGCGGGGCCCATGTTATGACACCCAGACTCACATTACGAATGCCAGAGTATCTCAGCTTCATTTTATTAGTTACATTAAGTAATGGGGCCATGGCCCTCCTCACACACATTGTTGGGGCTCTCCATATTCCAAGTGCCCAGGTTATACCCACACTGTGCAAGTCTTTGGACCAGTGAGCTCCTGGAAAACGAAAGAGACATGTCAAGAAGATTAGGACCCCCCCCCCAAGATTTGGCCGTCTTCTGAGGGGCACACCACCCCTTTTGGGACCTTTAGTTCCTCAGTTCTTCACCCATAGCGGGGCCCATTCTCCCTGGTTTAGTCAGTCTTAAGTCAACTGCTCATTTCATCCCCACCCTTCCTCCATCTTCCTCCTCAGCCCCCTTCCCAAATCCCTCTGTCTGGACCTTCAGCCTCTGATTCACACCTCACTTGCCACAGCCCAGCACCTCCTGACTTCTACTTGTGTTGCTACTACCCCCTCACCAGTCTCTCCAGGGCATGAGCAGCTGCATCCTGGACACTCACAAACAGCTGTTCTGGGGTCACTCTGTCCAGGAGTCCTGCCTGAGTCAGTGTTCCCAGCACTGAGGCTGTGTGGAGAGGGGGTCAGGCTTTAGGTCCTAAGTCCACACTGTGCCCTCTTCCTTCCCACAAGTGTCTGGTCATTTCCTAGTCTCCAGGTCCCTCCATCTTCCACACCTCTCACCATTACATTGAGCCAGGAGAAGGTGGATCCCAGTATCTCGACATCGGCTGGCCAGCTGCAGAGGTGGGGCAGAGGGTTAAACCTTACATCAGAGAGTATGCAGGGAATTATAAGGGGGCTTTCTGTTCAACCTACCCTCTAGCTCACCTGTACCACTTCTCTGGCCCCAGCAGCATCTGCAAAAGTGACACCACTGCAGTCTAGGACCACCACTCTGACAGGCTCAGCAACTAGGACGGGAGAAGGCAGAAGTACCCAGATGCCTCCATGAATCACGCCCACATCTACCTCCTTGTCATGTCATCTCACCTGCATTAGGTGGGCTATCTGTCTTTGGCATCTCCTATGAGTAGAGGGCAGTCACTACTTTGAGACACAAGCATGAATGTGCACCCCTTGAGCACAATGATCCCCCTCAGAAACCCATCTGCCTCCCACTCCCAGAGAAGCCATACTCCTCTTTGATCAAGGCCCTCACCTTGCCTCCTCCAAGCCCCAGATGCCACTCCAGGGTGCGGCGAAACTGTCCGCGGGTCCCAAAGTAGAGTGGTGTTGGATAGCTCAGGATGCAGAGCCCTGGGACCTGGAGGAGCTAAAAGGTCAGAGGGTCAGAGAAACATCCGGTTCTAATCCACCCTTCCTTCTTTCCTTACAGCCCACTCACCTTGTGGTTCTCTCTGAGTGGCCTGTAGAGCTCTGTCCCCTCAGCCAGTCCAAGGGCCAGGCATTGTACCCTAGGCAGGAAGCTGGGGTCAGACTCCCAGCCTGGCCTGGCTGGAGAGTCACCCCAAGCACTCTGCTGTCTCCCCTCCCCTCATCTCGACTCCCTTCATCTCTACTCCCACCTCTGGGTGCGGCAGACCACAGTCATCATGGAGAAGACCACACCTATGGCCAGGCCCAGGTCCACACTCAGGGTTACTACAGCCACCCATGTGACCATCCACACAGCCTGCAGGACATGCCCAAAAGAAATGTCAGGCCATCACTGCCAAGGATAGGGGCGGTGACTGCGAGGGCATGTGATGGGGAGGAATGGCCCAGGAGAAGGTAGAAAGAATGAGAGAAGAAAGGGACAGGATTGACCCAACAGGGGATACACACCAAATGTAATGACCCCAGACCTTGCAGCACCTGGGAAGTTACAAATATTCAGGTCTGAAGGGGTTCAAACCCACCCTTCACCTTGTTGCAGGAGGAAAGGGATTAGGAGGTATGCATCTTAGGGGTGGGTAGGTTGCAGAATTTAGGACCAGGACAATAGGCTTTGATCCAGGGCAGAGGTTGGGATGCTGGGGAAATGGGCAGGGGGGTAATCTGGGGGTAATGCTGCCATTTCTCACAAAGTCCATGCGGCTGATGCGCCATAGTTGTGGAAGTTCCTGCATCTGGAAGAACATCTGGCGCATGCTGGAAATGTTGATGCAGGCCAGGACAGCCTTGGGGCAGAGGAGATGAACTGACCACTCTGATATTCTGGAATATAGCCACCCCTCCCAGCCACACCCACGCTGCCTCTGCTTCTTACCTTGGGCAGATAGTAGAAGAAGGGCCCCAGCCACAGCAGCACCGACAGGACAACTATGCAGGAGAAGAGGCCTGCCAGCTAGAGGAAAGAATCGATGGAAGCAAAGAAGAAAGGGAACCTCATCCACCCTTGTGTGAAAGCTGGTCTCCCTTCCCACTTGGCCTCATCTTCGTTTTTGTTTTTATTTATTTTTATTTTTTAAGCTGAGCCATCCTGCCACCTGTTGGCAGCTCAGCGGCTGCTCGCTCAGGCCGGGCATCGAACCGCTGTTGCTCAGAGCTCAAACTCTTTAGCGAGCTCTTAGCCAACGGAGCCACTCGGCCGGCCCCATGGCCTCATCTTCATTGGACGTCTCCCTCCTCCCAAATCCCCTTCCACACAGATATTCCTCACTTCTCAACAAGCTTCTTGATATTCCGCTACTCATACCTACCTTTCTCCCCTTCCCCCAATTAAATGCCTCATTCGCCAGTCTCCCCTAAATGTAGTTCAAGGTCTCTGTTTTTGTAGCCCACCTCCATCTTAAAAGCCACTGCTGGATTACCCTAAAAGCATGCCAATCACATGCTTAGGGCACCAACGAAGTACAGGAAACCAAAACTATGAGGGGAGACTTTGATATGTAACATTTCTTTTTAAAAGAAAATGTCCTCATGGGGGGAAAAGATCAGAATTTTATCTCTTAAATGTATTTTCTAGTTTAGTATTGTTTTTATTTTGAACTACATATGGGGCACCATAAACTTTTTCAGTGCTTACAGTCTACGAAGTTCTCAATGGAGCTTTGTTCTCTTCTCTCCCTCCCCTCCCCTCACTCACTCTCCCTCACAGGTTCCCAGCCTCCTCTATCTATAGCTGCTACCTGTGTCTTCACCGCAACTACCATGCTGACCTGGATGCGCCCCCCGCCCTTCCTCCTCACCCAAGCACGCACTCTTACCTGTGTGTTCCCACCAGCGTCCACTAGTAGGCTGGTGGTGGCCAACGTGGCCGAGTTGGGAAAGCAAGAGAAGAGGGAAGAGATGAGGTTGGAGACGCCATGTGCCAAGAGCTCCTGGGGAGTACAGTGAGATGAAGAGGACAGAGACAAAGGCATGGGGGGAGTCACAGTAGGGAGCTGCCTCCTGAATGAGGTTGTCTCAGTCAGAGTCACACCTGATTGGAGTCAATAGTGTAGTTATACTTGTCTGCGTAGATGGAGGCCAGGGAGGCAGACACAGCAAAAGCAACCAGTGCAATAGGCAGCGAATCAGCCAGAATCCTGGGCAGCTCAGCCAGGTTGGGGAGGAGAGGTTGGGGAAATCTGGAAAGAGAGGGATATATGGTAAAAATGGGTAGGGTATAATAAGGATTATAGGGAAGACAGAGAAAAAGGGTAGAGCAGGACAAGAGAAGGTGTTGGGTGGGAGAGGTGTGAGAAGAAAAAGCTGTTATCGTTTCATTCTCTCTTACCCTCCGGGCAGCAGCCCCACTATTTGGACGTTATATCTTGTGTCCAGGGAAGAGGTGAAGCAGAGCACAGAGGCCAGAAGCACCTGGGAAAGAGAGCACATTAAGGCACAGGAGGAGGGCAGGCCAAGTGGCTCAGTTGGTTAAGAGCTCACTAAAGAGTTCAAGCTCTGAGCAACAGTGGTTCAAGTCCAGGCCTGAGCTGAGCTGCCACTGAGCTGCCAACAGGTGGCAGGATGGCTCAGCTGAAAAAAAAAAGGCACGGGAGGAAATGGGTGCCTTGGAAGAGGCTAAAAGAGCTCAACATGAGAGGATCATAATGCAGGATTGGGTGGTTGCAGGTGCCTAGCAACTGAGGGAGCTGGGATGTATTTTGGATGGGTGCCTGACAACTGATTTAGAGTGAAGGAGAGGAGGAATGGGAAAGAGGAATGATACATACCTGGTGCTGTGGAGAGAGATGGATAGGAGGAGTAAGAGGGGTTCCTATGAGGAATGTGGGTATCAGGAGGCAAAACCTAGCCATTCTAAGTAGGGAAGCTTGGTTATGTCTAGGGACATATAGGGTATCTGTGGAGACGTGGAACAATTATTTAGTTGGGAGAGAGAGAAATGTAGGTGAGCATGGGAAGGAAGATAAACTGAATTACGGTAAAGGGCTGGTGAGGAGAGAGACAAGAGTGGAGGTCTGTGGAGAGCGACACCGGAAAGGAGCACTGTAAGGAGGAAGAAAGCATTCTTAGAGGTCTAGAGACAAGTGGGAATGTGTGGGTGGGGGATTCCGGAGAGTCAAAGTGTTCTGGGAAGAGGCCTAGAAAAGTACACTTGTAAGCAGGACCTCTCGGCTGTGACCTCTCTGCATTCCACTAGGGGGCAGCAGCGGCCAGTTCCTACAGGAAGGGTCCGTGCAGTGCAGGGGGCCGGGAACCCGGAGCCATCCTCACCATGACGATTTCCCCTGGGATCGGGGTGGGTAGCCTGTCTCGGAATCTCACGTTCAATTCCTTGACCGGCACAAGCAGCGCCAGGCTGAGTGCAGAGATGGTCAGTTCGGCCGGACTGCTCCGGGGCAGTGCGGTCAGCACAGCGGCCAGCGTCTGCGGACGGAAGCGGTTAGCAGAGGGCCAGGTGCCAGGGGCGACTGTCCCCAGCGCGGATCCACCAGACCCTGGCAAGGCCCTCTCTCTCCCGGCTCCCATCAGGGCTTCCACCTCCACGGCGACCCTCACTCAAGCTTCTTGGTTCTAACCTCCTTTGCTCCGCCCCCGTCACACACTATCCCTCCACTTGTTCTTCCTTCGTTCTCGGGTTGCCCTCTTCCCGGGACCGCTAGAGGCCCCTTCTCCGCTGTTCTCCCACCCCCACCTTGAAGAGAGCGAAGCAGCCGATCTGGCGCGGGAGGGGCAATCCCAAAAGGCTCGGCAGCTGGGACACGAGCACGTGCAGCGCGGCCCCGCTGGTCAGCGCTTTAACCACAGGCTCGGACAAAAAGGTGGACAGGACGCCGAGCTGCAGAGCGAACATCCCCAGCTGCGTGGGAGAAGATGCGCAGTCACCACAGGAGGAGGAGCAGACCGCCAGAAGCGCAGTGCGCGCGCTTCTCGCGCACTTCTCCCGCGGAGACCTGCGCGGGAGACGTGTCCCACCCTCTCTCCTGGCCCAATTCTCCCGGGCCCCCAGCGTGGATCCTCCAGGGTCCTCCCTCACCATCAGCGCCCCGCTCCCGAAGGCCACGGCTGCAGCCGCCCCAACCCGCTGAGCATCCAACTGTTCCATCTCGATTCCACTCAGGTTCCCCCCGAGGGGTTCGGGCACCAGCCGCTCCACAGCCGAGCCAGTCATGAGACTGAGTACGGCAAACGTTCCTACGGCAGGGTGAACAAACGCAGAGATCACCAGCTGTGCCGCCCCGGGCGCGGTGACTGCACAGGCTCTCATCCCGAGTTGCTGCTGCCGGTATTACCCCGCTCCCCTAAAAGGCAGCTGCTTAGGTGAAGACCGCGCGGGCCAAGAGCCGGTGCAGCAGCTGGGAACCTATGGTGAGGGAGGTTAGGAGGGCACCAACTGGCAAAAACTGCCCCAAAACTGCATCACTGCCCCTTCCTGCAGACACCCCGTGGAATTGCGTGCCTCTTTGGGTGACCGTGGGCCTCTTCTCCCCTCTTCCAACTCTCAGAGATGTTCATTTTAACCAAATTTCATGGGGGAGAAAAAGTACGGGTAAAGCCCTACCTCTTTGCACCCACTCAAGCAGCCCCAACAAGCATTGCCTCGGTCACAGGGTCATGACAGGGTAGTGGCGGGGTGGGGGTGGGGGGTGAGGAGGGTAATAAGAGCTAGGGGGATTACAAGAACGAAAGCCTTAAACCCCTGCCCATGCTCACCCCACAGAGAAGGAGAGGAGTCACTGGGTCACTCACCTGTGGACAAATGTCTCCCAGTACCCAACAAGGTGTAGATGAGGACAGGAAAGAAAGAAGTGTAGAGTCCGAACACTGGGGGCACTGAGGTCAGGAGGGCAAAAGCCATGCCTAGGGGAGAAGTGGAAGGAAAGCTCTTCAGTTGGTGGAGGTACAGAGGGTGCCCAGCCCCCAGGACGCTGCCCCTTTCCTGCACTCTTAGAAGCTGGCATGGGGACGCTGAATCTTGCCACATGAGGGAACTGAGGGGTTAACGGGTCTCAGTAGGAGGTCGCTGGGCGTACAAGGTCACAGATCCGTGTCCGCCAGAGTCCTGGGTGGGGGGCGGGGGAGGGGCAGGCGTTGTGCCTCTCTCCAGTTCCCTGAGCCGGAACGTGCCCAAGACTTCTTGCAGGATTGCAGCAGATGAGGCGAACTGGGGGTGGGGATCTGATGGCGCTCCATAATCCTTACCCAGAACTTGGTCTCGGGTCCCTGTCTCCAAACCCTCAGACACACTAAACCACTACCTCGTTCCCGGGTTCTCAGTACCCCGGCCCCTGACAGGCTAGTGTTGGGGCGGCTCACCCTGGGGCACGTGCACGATGCCCACGGTCAGTCCGGCCACCGCATCCCCAAGCAGCCAGGTCCGCCAGCGGTAGTGGGGCAGCCAGCGTAGCGGGGGCAGCCGCGCCAGCAGCAGGCGCCACGCCCCCGGTCCGGAACAGGCGCGGGCCCGCTGCCTCCACAGGCTGCACAGGCGGGACCAGCGGGGCTCCGCGAGTAGCTCCGGCTCCTGCTCTGCGCTCCCGAAGATCTGCTGGAACCGAGCCTCGGTGAGAGGTTCCCTGAGCTTGGCGCCCAGAGGGGACTTAAGGTCGGAGACCTCTCCCGGGCGTGAGCAGGTCCTGGCTCCCAAAAGCCCACTCATTTTGCCCTTGGCCACCTCCAACTCCGCCCAATCTTAAATACCCCTCAACCCGCTAGCCTCGAGTCCCGCCTCCAAGAAGCAGGGTCCAATCCCGCCCTGGAGGGCGCTCTCTCTTGAGACCTTCTACCGGCAGGAGGGAGCTGCTTCTTAGGGAGGGTGCGTCTCTATATTAGGCGTTTCCTCACAAATCCTGGGCCTAATCGCACGCTCTGGAGCCTGCCATGGGCGGTGGCTGTGGATAGGTGTAGTGACCAGAGAGATAAGCCAAAAGACAAGAACACCCTCAATCCCCAATCCCCACTATTTACCACTCTTAAGCCTTTTCACTCTGCGCCCCTTTAGTCCGGATTCCTTTTGAATCTGCACTTTGGGCCAAGACTGAAGCTGGCTCCTCTGGGGTTACTGTTCATTCCCAGAGCCTCTGTATTCCCCACCTGGGCAAGAAAGTTCAGCGTGGTTCCCACACCAGTCCCTCCCTGCCCCCCCCCCCAAATCCTCTCAGGACACAGGTTGCCTCCAAGAAAGTGTTAAGGGGGTCTGTTGGCCTCAGCAGTTTCACAAACCACTGAGATGTGAAGCAGCTACATGTATTGGACAGGATGACAGAGAACCACCACCCCACACCTCTCACCTCTGCAGGGAGAGGTTGGGCCTAAATCCCCCGATCAGGGCCTTAGGGGAAACACTGAATTGATAGGAAATTTTTATTTTATTTCTTAGAAGCCAAAAAACCTGAAGCACTATTTATTACATTCAAGTGCAATTCACAAAGTAGGTATTCAAAAGCACATTTGTGGTTAAATTAAGTACAAAAAGGTCACCCACCCACCCACCTCATGTACCACGTTCCCTAAAGAAATACAAAGGTTCTGAGCTCCAGAAACGTGCTATTTGTCCCATCCCCTCCTCCATTCACAAGAATCCTTAGCACCCCTCCCTATAATCCTCTGGTCCCCAGTCCCTGACCCCAAAGCCCTGGGGGTGGGGTACAGTGAGGGTGGGTCTCCCCTCTTCAATTCCTCCTATTGTTCCCCAGAAGTCTTATCTGGGCTGTACGTCCTGTCTCCCTCCTTATAGGTCCCTCCCCCCATTGTCAGCCAGAGGGACCTCAGGCCCACAGGGAGGCTCCAGCTCCTCCTCACCCCCCTATCCCAGCAGTCTATTGTCTGCTTAGGAAGCCCAAGTACACGTGACCAGGCCCAGGGGACGAATGGACACTGAACACACCGATGCCAGAGGACCCAGGATAGGGCATCTGGACATGGATCTCTGCAAGTTTGGCTCTCTCTGTCCCAGGGGTTGTCCCAGAAGTTGGGAGGGGTGAAGACCCCTTCTATTTTTGGGTCTATGGCTTGAAGAGGAATCCATTCCTGCTCAGTATGGATATGTCTTGGGACCTCACAGAGAGCAAAAATAAGAAGACTCAGAGCCAGAAGGGGCCACAGCCCCCAGCATCCTCTCCGCCTTCCCATTCTCCCTCAGCTGAACAAGGAAGCTTCAGAAGGAAAGGTACATTGGGTATTTGGGTGTTGGAGGGATGGTGGGAAATCAGACTATACTGAGCTTTCCTATGAGGTTTAGAACAGAGGTCAGATGAGAGGGAAAAAAGGGCTGGGTAAAAGCGGGGGATACATCAAGGATCTAGGGGTTTGCCAGTGGCCTCAAGCTTCAGGTCTGGACTGAGATGATGCAGCTGCAGATGAGGCACAAAGCTAGCCGAGTCTTTTATCTTACACCCTGTGCCCTTCTCCTGTCACCAGACCCCTCCTCTAACTGATTTGAGAGGCCAGCTAAGCTCTTCCTTACAACTTCACCCCACTTACCCCTACCACAGCCTCCCCTTCCCTCTGCCAAGACAGCAGCCCCAGTTGATATAACAAAACTTTTATTCTCAGAAAACAGAAAAAACAAAATGAAAAACAAAACCAATAATTTCTATCTGGCCCTTGCCCCAGCCCTCCCACCCACCCACGTATCCTCCTTCAGAGGGAACCTGTGATGCATGCATAGGGGTGGGAGCTGAAGGAACCTGTGTTCCTGGAGCAGAAAGAAGTCCTTTTGAGTCTAGGTACCCTCCTCCAAGTTGACACCACTCCCAGCCTTGCCCACCCTCCAGACACACCTAGAGGGAGGAATTCTGGGGTGGTGCCAGAAGGATTGCCCTGAAGTTCCTTGGGGAAGAGAGTGGCTGAGTCAGCGCCACCCCCATGGCCTTCACCAGTTACAGCTCATCTTCATCCAGCTTGGCAAGTCTGGCCTGGCAGGGAGGAGTGTTTGGAATTGGTGGAACTGGAGGAGAGTCACGAGGAGTCTGGGGGATGTCACTGAGGGTCTGAAGAAAAGACTCAAGTTGGAGGATCAAAAAAGTTCAGGAATCCAGCCCCATTCCTCTCTCTTCAGTGTAAGCCCCTAGTGAAGTCACCTCCTGCTAGACATCTTAGATTACCTGAGACCATCAGTTCAAGTGGAGGGGGGAGGGTAAGAGATAGAAAGTAGGAGGGGCAGACAGACAAAGGGAAGGTGGTGCACGAGAGAAATGATACGGGGGAGAAGGGTTTGGGGAATCCCAGAACAAGAGAGGCCTTCCCTATTCTACCCCTACAACCAAGGAACACCCTTCTTCGTACCTGTGTGTCCAGGGGCAGGGGGGCTCTAGCCACCTCCCCTTTGGGTAACAGCAGCAGGGAGGGGAGAGAGCCATTGATGGGTGTGCGTGTGCTGACCTGGGCCCGGTCTCCAGGCCGAATTCTCCCAGGGCTTCCCACCCCAGGCCCTCCTGGCCGCCCCAGGCTGTTGGTTTGGCTCTCACGTCTCTGGTACTCAATGGGTGACTGCAATGCTGAGGCAAAGAGAAGAACAGAAGAAGGGTTACAGCAGTGACAGGCCCTGTCCTCCAGGGCTCTGCTCAGGTCATCTTCCCATTTTGCCTTCCAAAGGACTGTCATCCATGTAAACTGGACCTTAGGAGATTCTGAGTTACCAAATCTTGAGGTAGTAGTGGAAAATTGGGGATAGGGGACAAGGAGAAGCCAGGGGTCAGAGGGCAGGGATGGGAGATTGGGCGGTGAGGGATTCAGAAGGTCAAAGGGCTGAGGGAGCATGCAGGGGAGGGAGGGTGAGAGCTTCACCATTGAGGAAGTCCCGCTGACTTTCCAGGATCTGAGCCACTTGCTTGATCCAGGCCTGACTGACTGCAGGGTCTGCAGTCTGCAGGACATAGCGCTGGATCCCACCCTCTGGCCCTCTGGAGGTCAGAGCAAAGCGGCAAGGGTCACCTTGGAGGTTCCCCTCCAGTCCAAGGCAGCTCACCTGGATTGGCAAATAAGAGATAGCACCCCCAAATTCTTCAGGCCCTCTGGTTTCTGCCCCCCCTCCAAAAAAATCCAAGAGCCAGACATCCTCTCAGAGGCCTCACCCCTTCCCAGTTAAGACTCCTCCCTTGTAGCCCCCTCCCCACCTTGATGCTGCTCTTGTACACATATCCAGGCTGTGTTCCACCTCGAACTCCTCCTCCCAGGGCCTCACTGAAGATGACAATTTGCTCAAAGAGGAAGACACGCCGCTCTCGACCCCGGGAAGAGAGAAGCCCCCCAGCTTCAGGCTCCGTGACCCAGAATGTGTCCTGGCCCAAGAGCTTCCCCTGAGCAGTCAGTTTGCCCTAGAACCAAAGGATAGTGGCCTTCAAGAAAAAACAAGAAGAGAAAAGGGGCAGCTCTCTCCTCCTCCCTCCTTCCCCTGACACTCCCAACCAACCATGGGGTCAGCACTAGGAGAGAGAACAATTCCCCATAAGGACTTCCTGAGGATTCAACTGGGGCAGAAGAGCACTGGGCCTCCAGCTTCCTGCTCCATCCCCATACCTCAAACCCCCGCAGCCTCCCCAGCGTCATCATGTCATTGCAGCGCCTGGGCACGAAGCACATGACTTCCACAGCTCGCTGGGATGCAGGTGAAGAGAGGAGTGTTGTCATTGTTGGAAAGAGGCTTCCAGAACATGTTTCAACCCCCAACTCCTCTCCCCCTAAAATCCAGACAGTTTCACACCACCCAAGGAGCTGGGTGAATCCAGAAGACTAAGAAGATAAGGTAGATAAGGTATGTGGTGTGTTCCTGGAAGACCTGGGAGTCCTCACCTCCAGCTCTGCAGTATCCATCCCTGCTCTACTGTAATACTTGAGAAAATCCTAAGACGCAGAAAACAAATGCTAATGTAAGTCATGAAGATATCCTAGGAAGCTCTCACATCCTTCCCCAAAAACGCTGTTGAAGACCCCCAGGAAGTCTAGAGGGAGCCTTCGGAAGCCTGGGGAGATGAATCAGGAAAGGGCTATCCCAACCAGCTGTGTACCCAGAGAACAGGTGGCCCTGACCTTGAGCAGCAGTTGGTATTTCATGATCCTCTGCACTGGTTTGATGAGGAGGTCATTGAGCTGCAGGCGGTGCCCCAGCTGCTGCCGGAGCTCCTGGGGACAGGGACAAGGATAGGGTGGTAACGCAGCCTGGAAAGCCTGCTCTTGACGATTCTGTCCCTCTTTCCCCAAGGCACTTCAGCCACTGACCTCAAAATAGCTGTCCCCAAATTCTGACACCACATGCTCTGATTTGGGCTTATTCTGACAGTATACCACATACATATGCAGCCGGCGCTCCTAATGGGTAAAATTTAAGAACGAGCTGGTGGATGAGGAGGGAGAGCACATCTGCAGAGAGCCCCACCCAATTCCCAAGCCCCTCCCCCATCCACCCTCTCAAGCCTACGTGTTTGATGAATAGCTGAGCCAGCCAATCAGGATCCTTCAAACAATGCTGTAGCTCCCCTAAGAAATAGCTGGAGGTGGCAGAGAAAAAATTGGTTAAATACTCAGACCCCTGCAATTTAGGGTGTCTGCCCTTGTGGTGTTCCCCATGGAGCCTATCCAAACATTCCTCAGGCAACAATAGGCCCATGAGTGGGACACAGAGACAACCAGACATAAACCCCTCCCCCTTGCTCTCAGGGCTCCACCACTCACTCTCTATGCCACTCGTAGATTTGCTGGATGTTTCCAAACACAATCCTGTCACGGCCTCGAAGACTCTCAGGGACCCCCTGGGCAGCCATGGTGGCCATGTAACCCTGTGGAAAGTTTCGGGTGGGAGCAGAGGTGTATGGGGCCAGCTTTGGTGGGAACACCCGCTCCCAAGAAGTCCAGGATGTAGGGGGGACTGGGGAGGTGGGACAGAGGAGCATCAAGGCATTTCTTAAAATTAGCCCTGGTCAGAATGAAAGGGCTAGGCCAGGGCTGTGAAGGGAAAAGTGAACTACCTCCACAATCTGCCCCAAGTCGTCCACATACATTTTCTCTGTCTCTACCAGTTCACTGAGGACATACCTGGAAAGAAAGAAGGAGTGCACAACCTTGGTTTAGCCACTTCCTTCCTCCTGGACAAGAAGCCCAGTCATTACCACAGTCAATCTCAGAGGAAATTCCAAGTCTCAAATCTAAAATGTGAGGGACAGTCCCCTGGAATTTGTGCAGTCGGGGGAAAGGGGTGGAAGGGAGAGTGTGTGGACACTCACATACTCCTTTCCAGAGCCTTCTGTTTCTGTTCCTCCTCACTCTTGGGGACTTGGGACAAAGTCTCCTCCTCAGGTGGCTGGAAAAGAAGGAACATCCTAGAGTAAGCAAATGAATGCTTCTTGGGTGAGGGGAGCTACTCCAGACCCATTTCTTCATACCTTCATCTTATCTTCAGGGCCTTCCAACAGTGTGGTCAGCAGGGTCAGTTCTTGCAGCTCCTCTCCTGTACCTAGAGCTGGTTCCAGCATCCAGTTCTGGGGGCCAGAGGTCAGGAACAGTAGCTGTCTCTCCCCAATGACCAACAGATCCCAACCTGTTCTCTCTCCCAGTGTCTTTCATGGCTGTCCTACATGTTTCTGTGGTACTCCCTGCTCACCTCATATGGTCCAGCCTGGCCACCATCTGCCTCAGTTTCCACAGTGAGACAATGTTTGGAGTGATCCAACCATCTTCTCAGGCCGCTGACTGGCCCTGGGGGCCCCGGGGAACAGGGGCCAGAGCTGAGGCCAGAGCTGGGACCAGAGGGGGCAGCCAGACCGGAGGCAGCTGAAGCTGAGATACTCCCCTCACTGCCAGCAATGGAATAGGATTCTAATGGGGTGGGGAGGAAGAAACGGGTTGATAGATATTGCTCCAGATCCAGACTCAGGGTCCCTAGGAAGCTCCCAGAATCTCCTTTCTATGATGCTCAGCCCCTCCCCCAGGGCTCACTCTCTTGCCATCCTCATCTGAGTTGGCCAGGATAGAACATTTTACCAGGGCACCCTTGGGAGGAAGGACAGTAAACACCTAGCTCCCCAGGCCTGGAACCCCAGTAACATGTGGAGGTTCCCCCATATCCTGAGCATGGCACAGATATGGGGGTGGGGGCAGCCATCTGGGCAGACACTGAAAGCTGGGGGTGGCCATCTGCTCTCCTACAGCCCTCCCCCTTCCAATGGGTACAGACCATTCTCTGAGAAGGGGGGAGTGAAGAACCAAGAGCTCATCTGCCACCCCCAGACCCCTCCCCCATCAGTTGCAGTAATCTCTATAAGCAAAGAAAAGACTTCCACAGCCCACTTCCCCAACATGCACAAACTCAATAGAGGGGGCAAGCGATAAGTCACCAGGATTATCTTTGGCTTGGGCTGGGGGACAGAGGAGCTATGATTTTTGAGAAATCCCCTGGTAGATCAAACTCATTCCTCATTCATCCATCCCCTGTCCTTCTTTAAAGCTGAAGTAGATTCTCAGCAAAAGGATTTGAGGGAAGATGTGGTTCTAGGCCTAAGGGCCTAGATGTGGATGGGATTTTCTCATACCCAGTTGACCACAGGAAAGAGAAGAGTCCCCTGCCCCTTCCCCAATTTCCTTAACTTGAACTGATACAAATTTTGAGGCAGAAGGGATCTTAGAGATCATCTATTAGGCCACTTTCCTGGGAAACACAGGTACCGTTTCCAGCTTCCAAATCCCTAGGGCCGGGGCACACAAAAGTCCTGAACCCTCAGCCCGCCCCGCTTCAGCACTGAGCCCTGGAGACCTCGCACTCACCACGTCCCCCCCGGGCGATGCAGCAGCCGCATTTTGCCAGCACTTTTCGGATCACATGGGGACAGGCACAGCGACCCCCCTTGTGCCCCCCCCGCATGGCGCCCGGGGCCCCCCGTACCCCCCACCCGGGCCGGCCATGCAGGGGGAATCACGGGGGGCGGGGCGGGGACGGCGCAGGGCGCACACCCCCCCTCCCTCCTACCCCGCTCCAGGCTGGGGGAGGGCGGGAGGGAGGGAACGGGGAAGGGGCGTCCAGGGGTAGGCGGAAGTCTGTTCTGGAGGAGGGCTGGGGGCTCTGCAGAGAGGGCGGCGCGGGGCCCGGCAGTCGAGCTGGGCGGGGAGGGTTTCCGGAACCCTGTCGGTGCGGGGCCCAAGGTCCAGATGTCCAGCGGGGAGGGGAGGGACGGTGGGGGAGGCTGGGCCGGGATGCGGCAGCCGCTCCAGCTACGTCTCCGGCCTCTGGGGTTGGGGGTGGTTCTAGGCCAGGCAGGGGAGAAGGCGGGGGCCGACTCCTCGAGTCACAGGCGCTGCGCGGGTCGCGGCGTAGCGGCGAGCCGAATAACAGGCCCCGCCGCGGTACTGTCGCGGGGAGGGGCCTCTGCGGCCCAGCTCCGCCCTCTCCCCCCTTCTGCCTGTGCCGGGTTCCCTCCCCAATCCCCCTTCCCCCAGGCACCACCACGTTCCCACTCCACGTCCTCAGCGCCTCGGCCCCTCCTCCGCAGCCTGGGTTCCCCCTCCCTCCCGCATCTCGGGCTCTGACTGCGGAGCGCTGGGGTGGGGGTTAAACGGGGCGTCGGGGGATCTGCCTGGGTCGCCCCTCGGACTCTGCGGTGGAGAAGGGCCGGGTGGATGCGGCCTTGGCCTGTGCTTAGATGTGCTGGGGTTGGGGCTGTCCCTAGCCACGCGAGGGTGGACAAGGACCACCAGTAGGGATGCGTGAATGGGGAGCTCTTTGTGGGGAACACAGCTCAGGTGCCGCCCTCTCACCGGACCCTTCTTTCCTCCAGGCCCCGGGACTCCAGCCGAAGCTAATCACCAATTAAGGCGAAGTCCTGGAGCCTGGGCTGGCGAGGGGCCAGGGGTGGGGCGCGGGGACACTCCGCCTGCGGGGGCTCGGGACTGGCTGGGCGGGGGACACACAACGGACTAGAGGGCGAGAAGAAGCTGGAGGTCTCCGCGATTAAATGGGTCTCATGCAAATTAGATGAGAACCTTTATGCTAATAAGAGCATTTTTTTGAATTCACCACTTTGCGCAGGATGACAAACTGTGCCCCACCCCATCGCCAGCTTCTTACCGGGCAGCGTAGCCCAAGCCGGGACCTCACGTTTGCGCTCCCCTCTCTGATCACCCTCCATACAGGCTGACTCTGGCTCGGTCCCCTCGGGTCCTAGGGGGCTTCTCTTTGGGGAAGGGATAGAAAGATCGTAAAGGAACGAACCCCTCCACCCAAGCCCAGCCTTGACCTCCCCCTTCCCCCCAGCTGTCAAAATCCACATTATTATAAAGGGGTCGCCAAGACTGGAGTGGAGAGAAAAGTTCACCCAGAACGTGGCTATGACCCTCTTAACGGAACTCTTGGATTCCTGCAAGTGCCCCGCAGAATTTCTTTTTGCGGGTAAACAGAGTTGTGGGGTGCAGCCCTCTTGAATACCCCAAAAGACTCCCAAATCCCACCAAAGTCGCCCTTTCTTACCCCCTCTTGCCCAGGTAGGGCGCATGCGCGCAACATGCCCCCCATGACCCCCAGTATCCGGTCAGTGCGGCCAGGGGCAGGGCGGTCCGGGGGCTTCATGCTGGACCCCTACCCAGCTCCAAGTTTCAGGGCCGAGGGGGCACGGAAGCTGGGGGGCTCTGAAGCCTGCGTGCGTCCGGGGAGTTGCTGCTGCCGAATCCGCCCCCTGCCCGGCTCCGCCCCTACTCCCACCCCAGCCAAACTTTTCAAAAGGGGTAGGGTTGTTCCTTCCTACAACCATAGTTCAACAACAAACCCCTCTTAATCCCGATTCCAAAATTGAAGCGTGACCCGGGGCTTCGCAGTGTTATTGTGGAGCCCACTAAGTACATGCAGTTTACCCAGGCCCTCTGCAGGCAGACTGGGGAGACCCACTGGGATTTCCTGATTACCACCCCCTTCCCCTTCTCAGCAGGTCCGCTCCCACCCTACCCCCACCCTGTCCACAGAACAGAACGGGTGTGGCATAGAGTTGCATATTTTACTTTATTTTTATTAAATTAAAAGCTACAGTCTGGCAGCGATTCCAGAACAGGGTAAGGAGGCTCTTTATAGGGGGCAGAGAAGAGCGGGTGAAAGACAGACTGACAGAAACAGACATAGGAAAGGACAAGGTTAAGGTAGCTGGGGAACTGCTTCTGAAGAACACACATGGCATGGCTCCCCTGCACAGAAGTTCAGCAGTCAACAGTATGGGGCGAGGGGCGTGTTCAAGAGACCTTCCCCATCCCACCCAGGTCCTTTCTCAGCTTAGTCACTGGAGCACAGCACATACCAGAAAAAGCCAAGGGCAACGGAGGGGGCAGGAAGACTGGGAGTATGTACAAGGGGAGGAGGGGAGCAGAGCTTTCCAGATCAGCATCTGTCAGAAGGGAGTGGCTCACACTGCACTGAAGCACTTGGCCTGTAGGAGACAGAGGAAGGGATTACCCCCTCCCTCTCTGAACTCCTTCCCTAGTCAGACAGGTCCCCTACTCTGTGGTGTGGGGGGGCAGAGGGAGAGAGGAGAACATAGGCTTCCGTTGGGTCCTAGTGGAAGAGAATGCCAGGGGCCTTGGCAAAGGGGGTGTCCTTCAGTCATCTGTGATACCCTTGGCTCTCAGCTCCTCTTGTACCCGGGTCAGGTAGGTGGGGTCCGGGTACCCAAACCTGGGAGCAAGAGAAATGTGAGTCAGGGTTAGCTGTTCGGCTTTACTCATATTACCCCAATGCTCACACTCATTCTGGGTACCCCACTGTGGCCCCGCTCCCCCTCCCCTAAGGTAATCCAAACCCAAGATAACTTAGCCCAATTATTTCTGTAGTTAAGCTGGTCACATCAGGACCAGGATGAATGTAGGAGAAACAGATGGAAGAGATGGTTGAATAGTTTGGGGGTGGTCCTCTCCAGTTAGGAGGCTCCCAGAAGGAGGGGGATGATGTTGTTCCCTCAGTGGAAATGGACCGAAGGGGCGGAGCCAAAGGAAGGGAAATGAAGGAGTGTCGCACAGCTGGGGTCCCCCTGTGCAGCTGGTCTTGTGGTGGATGTCATTCCAGGTGATGACATTCGGTCTTCCTGTGGTCATGGACGTGCCAATAGTGAAGGTGAGACGCTGGTCAAACGCCTTGCGAAACAGGGTCAGCACCTTGTTGCCCTCAGGGCAGTCCGGGAGGTAGGCCACCCGTGTGGTGCCTGGATACCGAACTCCTGGGTTTGGGTGTTCGGCCTGGGAGGAGGAGGAAGCAAAGTGGGCAGTGAGCAGCTGGGCATCTTAAGGCCATGATGCCAATGGAATATCACCCTGGCCTTCTGTCTGTGCATGCCCAGCTAATGCTGACAGGGCAGCGACAGGCTGACAGCCTTTCAGGGAAGGAGAGACTCTAGGGTCTGGGCAGCAGGAGCCTGTTTCTGGACAAAATCCTTATCGTTAAGAGTTCTTTCTCCCCATCTCAATCCCTCAAGTCTCAATTCAGCAACAAATGGATTTTCAGAAGTGATGGAAGTTAGCTGGTCCTTACTCTCCAGAAAACTCAGCAGAAATGTGAAGACTGAGAATAATTTATCTTTCAGCCTTCCCTTCTCCACCTGAAAACACTCCCAATACTTCTTGCACTGTCTAACCTGTTCCATTTTTCTATTACTCTTCTTCGGAGCTTTCTCATCCCTCTGCAAAGCAGAACTGGAAATTACTCTTTGTCAAGCAGGAAGACACCTGTAGGCTATTGAACACTTCTGTTTTAACCTTCCACTGTCATCAAGGTTTCCCTCTCTCATAAATCTGAAATGAAGCAACACTCGCAGCTCTGTTAGGAAGGTCAGATCCCTTCCTGCTTGTGCATGCCTGCACCTGAGCCGCCATCTCCACAGAATTCACCTCTGCCAAGAACAGTCGTTGGCATCCAAGTTCATCAAGGAAATAGTACTCAATTCCTTTCTTTCATACCTGTGCCTGGGGTCGTAGGGATGGAAAAATTGGGCCTCAAGGGGACCCCCTAGCTCCAGGGCACTGAGTGGGAAGGCATATTGGGAAGCAGCAAGACGGTATCACATCTAAGAAATACACTCACCCTCCCCCAACTTGCCTAGGTCAGAGAAGGAGCTTGGGGTAAAAACCAACGAGTAAGGGCAGGCTGCAGTCTCCTTACCCCCTGGACACCGGGTGGGAAGACATACTGGATGACGATGGTGCCATATTTCTCATAGCTGGGCAGTAGGAGTGTGGCGTCCTTAGAGACAAGCATCCTCCCGTTCTGGGGCTGGTTGCCCACCAGCTGCCCATAGAAGCGGCCACACATGGGGCAGGCCTTTTTCACCTGCAGGGCCCGGGTGATACAGCCTTCACAGAATGAGTGCCGGCACTTCTCCAATGTCTTGGCATTCTGGATCTCCCCCAGACAGATGGGGCAGGTGCTCTCCTGCTCTTCTGCCTCCTCCCGAAGGCGGGGAGGAAGAGGAGGGGGCAGGGGAGGAGGAGGAGGGGGAAGACCCCGTGCCCCTGGGGGCAGGAGTGGGGCTGCTCGGAGAGGGGGTGGGCCTGGGCGGTGCAGCTCAGGGTGCTCCCCCCCACCCCCCAAAGCCAGGCAGCCCATAAGCTCCCCCTGCCTCTGAGCTTTCTTCAGCTCTTTCTCTGCCTCTTTTAGCAGCCCCTTGAGAGCTTTCCGGGCCAGGTAGAGCCCATTGGGAGGGGCCGGGGGAGGGCCCTGTGGGGAAAGCTGGAGAACATAGATGTCAGAAGTCTCGCCATCTATGAGGATGGACACACGATGCTCCTCCCGAAGCCGGGCCAGCCGGGCTGGGGTCTCCTTGCTCAGGAAGTCCCACACAGGCTTGGAGACAGTCACTTTGTTCTTGCAGGTGCCTCCACAGGCTGCCATTCTGGACAGGACGAACGACACTGCCCCCAGGGTGAAAGGGACTCAGGGTGTGGGGGGGTCCCCATTTGACAAATATCAGTACTTCCTACTTCAGGTTCTTTTCCAACCCTAAATTACCTCTACTCTCTCAAAGTCCAACCTCCAACTCTTTCCCCTAAGTTCATTTTCTACCTCTTCTTCTCTTTCAAACCCCAGCACCCAGAGAAGAGCAAGAAGTTTCTATAACATTATTATTCTCACCTAAGCCAAGCATCAGCCTTGGTTCTCCATTCACTCCTCCCAAGATCACAGAAACACTCTGCCCCTCCCTCTCCCTGGGTGAAAACTGGGTTCTGTAAAAGGGAGGGAGACTTTTTGACCCTCCTTTTTGCTCACTTTGATCCTGAAGAGCTTAGAAATGGCATGCAGGCTCTCTGTCTCTCTCCCTGCTCCCTACTTGTAGGTGGTGTGACCTGGTGGGTGGACAGGAAAAGGAGGGTAAGTGAGAAACCCCTTTCCCTATTCCCACATGCCCCAACCCGGCAGCCCACATAACAGATGGGAACCTGGATGTAAATTACTGGGAATGGGATTACTTGAACATAGAATGTTGGAAGCCAATTTAAAGGCGCAAGTTGAGGTTCCCTCAGGAGGAAGATACCTGGAAAGCCCATGGACGATGACAGCAGCAGGAATCCCTCTATTTCCACACTCAGCTCACCAGGACTGGAGGGAGAGTAAAGGGTTATGATGACATATGTTACCATTTTCCCCAGTCTGCTCAGAAACAAAACAAAAACTTCCATTTCCTCTTCTTCTCTCCTGCAGAATTCCATCCCCAGCCTCTACCCAAGTTGTTAAAGAATTTCAACATGCTAACTTTCCTCTTTTCTTCCCCAGGTCTGAGGCTCTCAAGAATCCTAGAGCACAGGTAAGTCAGGGAGGGGAAAGCCCACATAGGTGAAGGTCTTTCTTTCCACCTCCCTCAGATCACATGGACAAGACTATTTCCTGTGCTCCCCAACTCCTTGCCCTGCTCCATATTCCCGAATAACTCAGCCCCTATTGCTGGGGAGCCTTCCTTAAGAGCCAAACCAGTCCCTTCTGCTGAAGTCTGTTTGGAATGCAAACTAAGTGGCAGCAGCCCCTGCAATAACAAAGTTCTCACTGTCACCTTT